TTTTTTTGCTATCACAAGAGTTTTCTAGACTATCAGATTATTGCAGCACTTGATGAGACCTAGGAGTAATTAGGACAGATACTCAGGCTCTGACCTGGTAACAGACATCAGTTCGCACCCAGAGAAATGCATGACACTAGATCCTGGTGTCCAGCATCACCATGTTTAGCTGCATATCTCTGTCCAGCACCTGCATGTGTAAAGTAGTGCCCAGGAGGCTGTGTTCTTCAGCTTGGTGAACAAGAGAGACAAAAATTCTGATCTCAGGGCTTATATTCTTGGAAGGATGCTGTTGACCCTTGTTTCAGGTTAGGTTCTACCTGTTTCGGTGATGGGAGCTGAACTCAATGTCCTGTTTATGCTAGTTAAGTACTCTTATCACAAGCTGTATACTAACCCCCTTAGTTACTAATAAGGGTTTATGGGGGATGGGGTAGTTCCAACCACTGGGATGCCGTTCCACAGCCTATGGAGTAGCTTTTCTCATTGCCCACACACTCTTGCCAGACTGTGACTAGCCCACCAGTGCATTCCAGAGCCCAGTTGTCCATTTCTACCTCTGAATGCCTCGTTAGTGGGAACTGGCACTTCCAGTTTCTTCCCTGTGATGTGTCAGTGTGACCCACATAGACAAATCCCGGGAGTCCCTTCAAATTTGGCTAGAACTGCACAGCCAAATCAACAGTTATAGCCAAACTGCTCCTCTGTGCTCACACCTGCCCTATGGTGCTGCTTCTAGAACTCACTCTCTTTGCTCTCAGGGTTGGTGGCTCTGTCCAAGTATTTGACCAGCTCTTCAGACCTGTATCCATCCCCCTGATTTTGCAATAGTCTTTATTGCCAGTTTTTGAGGTCGCAGTTGGACAAAAGTTCAGCCTTATCATACTAGACCCTTTAAATGGTTTCCTTTGGAGAAGGAGGAGAGCAGCCGAATCTCTGCTTGGACTCCTAAAACTTAGACACTGATTCAGCCTCAGCATCAGGTCAGATGCTGTATCACTGGGTACCACTCCCAATCTTTCTATACTATTCCAAGGCTCTAACTATGAACATCTTGTTTTACTGACTGTGGACAGGGAGGGATTGAGGGTAATTATATCAGCTGGTTCCCTCTCTATCTCCCCCTTTCCCCCCACCACCTTTGTGTATGTGAGGCTGTAGCACACAAGTGTAGAAGGGAGCGGCGGGCTGTGTCCCGCCACCTGGCTCCCGGCTAGCTTTATCCGAAATAATTACATGGAAACTGTATTCATTTAAACATTGTTTGGCCCATTATCTGTAGCCTCTTATTGGCTAACTCTTACATATTGATCTAACCCATTTTTAATAATCTGTGTAGCACCACGAGGTGGTGGCTTATCAGGAGGATTCTAACCTGCAGCTATCTCGGAGAGGAGAGTCATGGCGACTGCCTCACTTCCCTTCTTCCCAGCATTCTGTTCTGTCTACTCCACCCACCTATGTTCTAACCTATCAGGTCAAGCAGTTTCTTTATTAATTAGCCAATAAAAGCAACAGCAATACATAAGACTCTCTTACATCACACAAGCCTCTTCCTGTGTCCCGTGTCAGCCTCCATAGTGCTGGGATTGCAGTTACACACCACCATGCCTACCTACTGTCAGGAATCTTCATTGCAAGTGGTAACAACCCAATTAAAACTGACTTTGGAAAAACAGAATTGTATGGTTCATGTAACTGGAGAGGGCTGGGTTCCTACTTGTCTTAGTTGGTCATTAATTTTTGTTCTCTATGATGTCCTCTCGGTCAGGCCCTTTCTACTTGATAGCCTAACATTTTGTCATAAATGGCGGGGATGAGGAGAGCAAAGTGAGTCCACAGAAATAAACAGGATGCCCTTACTCAAGAAAAGGGCAGGGGATCTGGGAGAGCTAGAATCCACACACATCTACTGTAGGGACTCTGCTGACTGTCGTTGACAAAGGCGCCAACAGCATGCCCCTTGATAACTGAGAGTGACTAATTTCGTGTTTGCAGAAGTATTGGGAGAAAAAGGACCCAAGTGCAAAGGGAGAAAAGTAAGAAAGGGGGGAAGAGTGATAACAACCACTCCACATACCCCTCAACCACCATCCATGGACTGTCTGGGTGCATATGCTTGGGGGCATCCCCGGCAACTTGTTGGTATCATAGTACCGTCGAAATAGCTTACCATCCTTCTTGAAAACTGCTGCTTGTCAGGCTTGGAAGGTACCCTGTTCAACCCCTTTAGTGGTAGGTATCAGTGTATCTATTTGAGTTATTGGACATTCTAGTGGCGTCAAATACCCAGAACAAGGGAGTCATCCGTAGCCCTCGTGGAGCAATGCTTTGCACTAACTGCTGCCTATCACGCTTACAACGTCTTTGCTGATATTACCAAATAAAGACTGTCCCTTAACTATTCACTTTTACTGGCGTTATCACTGTCACGAGGAACGTCTAACTCATTCACCCTGCACTTCTTGCTGTAGATGACGTTCCTCAGACTGTCCTGAAATCTATACTGCCAGTCTGAACCAACTAAGTAGGACCACAGAAGCTCACACATGGATGTTCAAGAGATTTCTCCACTCAGTCATCAAACACTGTCTATCCTGGGGTGCATATGAACATGCTATGTGTATGGCTGAGCAAAGAGGAAGGGTAAACTTGAAGAGCAATGCCTCAGTGGGAATCTCGTGAATGGGACAAACAAGTAATTGAGCAGTGGCTATAGTGTGAGAGCCCCAAGAGAAACAGCGAGAGTGTTAGGAGTTAAAGTATATGATTAGCCGAATCCGGGCTAAAAGGGTAGATGGTGGGCTGCAAGGCGCACACTAAAGAGAAGACATGAGCCCTGGGTGAAGCTTGGGAGTGGCACCAGGTTGTCGGCTGATCTTATGGAAGCAACAGAAACAATGTGGCTCAAAATCAGGAAGTCAGAGGGAGACTGGATTTCTAGGAACTGCAGGAAACTTGATCCAGTTTGTGCCCCTAGGGAGAAGTGAGAAGAGATAGCCCTGGGGAGCCACCTGCAGAATTTGGACATCACCTGTTGGTGAATTTCCTTCCAGGACCCTCTTACAGGGCTGTCTTGTGTGGTCAGGGCTACAGATGTCAATAACAAGATTCTGCCTTCTAGAAAACACCCCATTCCCACATCCAACTATCCGGCAATAGAGCCAAAAGGAGCACTTTGGCCTTCTTATCTTAGCCATAAAATCAGGATCTTGGGTGCCTGATGCTAATAAAATCTTTGCTGGCTGCAAAGGTATTTTAATTAAAAAAAAAAAATTCATGCGACTCTTCCCGCCTAACTAAAGCTCCGTTACTCAACCTCTAAAGTAAGTAGCAAGGAAGGCTAAGAGCAAATGCCATGCCTATGACTCCGGGGACTTCTGGTTCAATCTCGGGTGGGTGTTCGCAGTGTTTCTAGCTGCCAGGTGACCCCTGGATAGTTAGAGCTGAGAACCTGCAGCGTGCAATGCCTGGCAGAAGGAGTTCTGAGAAGAATGGGCCCTCTTTCTGTACTCCTCAAGTCTTATAGATTGCCACGCCCCCCCCCTTTCTTCCAGATGCTCAGCTGCAGCCTGTAGGAGCTGCTGAGGCCTCCTGAGATGCTCTTATCCACAGCTTACAGACATACGGTTACACTCTTCAAACGGCTGCACTGGCAGGGCAAGCTCACCTACTCCTAGTACTTACAAGCAACTTCTGGCTCTGCGATGGTTTGAATGAGAACGGCCCCCGTAGGCTCATATATGTGAATGTTTGGGTCCCTGCTAGTAGACTGTTTAGAAAGGATTAAGGGGCGTGGCCCTGTTGGAGGAGGTGTGTCACTGGGGGTGGGCCTTAGCTTCCATACCAGGCCCAAGTTCATTCTTTCTCTTTCTCTGCCTGCTGTCTATGAATCAGATGTGAGCTCTTAGCTACCACTCAGCCTATGCTGTTTACCTATTGCCATGATTCCCACCATGATGGTCATGGACTAAACCTCTGAAACTGTAAGCTAGTCGCCCCCCTCTCCCAATGCTTTCTTTGATAAGGTGCCTTGGTCACCATATCTCTTCACAGCAATAGAAGAGTAACAAAGACAGACTCTATGAGCTAACTTTACAGGACCGTAAAGCATTATTGAAGACTCCCCCTCCCCCACTTACCTTGAAACTCCAAACTGGTCTCATTAGCACATTACTTCCTCTCACCCAGTCCCACACATCGCCTTCCTCCCGGTTCCCACCTCCACATCTCCCTGAACACCGTCTTTGCCATGTAGTTGCTGCAGTTAGATTGTATGCCTTGTCCCTGAAATGCACGACTTGGAATGAAAATGTAGTTGGTTTGCTATTTAAAGGCAAGTAGCTCTGGGCGTTGTGGTCCCTCCCTGTCACACCACACCCTAGTATCCTCCTCCATCAGGGGCACCAAGTGACAAGCTCTCTTGGTGCCTCCCGGGGTGCTGCCCTGGACTGTTCCTTCTGTCCTGAGACAGCAAATCGTTGGTTGGGGTAGTGGATTGTTTCCCACAGCAATTAGCGGTTGCCCTGGTGTTAATTTCCAATCAATAGCCTGCCATGCTCGACTCTGAGCTGTCCGCTGGGGGCCTCTACAGCGCATTTTGAAAGTAACTTGCCAGGAGGTAGGACTCTGGCCCTGGCTCCTCCAAAAGCCTTCAGCAAGGGTTTTAGAAACACCAAATACCCCCTCACCACTGCCAGGGGCCAAGGGACTGAGGGACCAGGCAGGTGGCTCTAGACACCTTTCGCAGTCTGATGACAGATTGGGGACACAGGTGGAACCGCCTCTCCTCAAGAGTGGTGGCCCTTTGAATATTCATGAAGCTCTCATTTTCCAATTTTGGCTTTTTTTGAAACTTTCTGCTGTTTGAGGTGGCTGTATTTTTTTTTCTTCCATTTAAACCCCTCATTTAAATGTCTCTCTGTCTCTCATTCTTTCTCTCTCTCGTGTAAATCAAATTGCCTTGATTTCTCACTTTTTGACTATGTTGCTTCCTCTAGCCCCCTGTGGACAGAATGAGACCCGAGAAGATGGCAAGACAATCCAGCTACCTCCATGCAAGACAGGAGCATGGATTGTGCCGGCCATCATGGCCTGCTATCTCTTGGTGGCAAACATCCTTCTGGTCAACCTCCTGATTGCGGTCTTCAAGTGAGTGATCACACTTTAGGCAGACAGGTGGATGGATGGGCAGCATGGATGGAGGGAGCTGATATTTCAAAAAGTAATGATTTTTTTTTGTCTTGTGACTCTGATCTGTTTCAGCAATACGTTTTTTGAGGTAAAGTCGATATCCAACCAAGTCTGGAAATTTCAGAGGTACCAACTCATCATGACATTCCACGAGAGGCCGGTTCTGCCCCCTCCGCTCATCATCTTCAGCCACATGACCATGATATTCCAACATGTGTGTTGCCGGTGGAGGAAACACGAGAGTGACCCAGATGAAAGAGACTACGGCCTGAGTGAGCGGCAAGCTGGCACCTGCCCCTGGAAGTTCCCAGTAGTTCCCATAGGCAGGCAGGCAGGATCCATGCCCTGCTTGGTTCTCCTGCCTGATTTCTCCTGCCTCCTGCCTATTTAGGGGAGGAGGAATCGGACCTACTTGATGAGATACATGACAGAAGGAAGACAGCATAGCATGAGCAGAATCCACAATTCTTAGCCTCTTCTTACTAAGAGAAAAGCCACTCTCCAATAGAGTTAGGTAGTCACCTCATACACTCTCACTTTCCAAAGATCCCACAGCAAATCAGCCACATTGTTCTGCACCAAGTGTTATATTAGATAGCATTTTTAAACAGTCTGGCCTGAGTTTTATTCCTCCAGGCTCATTTCTGGGACTGCCACTACTCCAGATCTTAAATGTTTTCTAAACCTTCAGCATGGTACCTGTATGATTTTGTAGAGACAACAAACCTTGCTTTCGAAGGACAGACCAATAGCCTCTCCACCACCCACCACTCACCTCTAGCCTGACATTTCTGAAGGGAAGGTTGGATGGCATTTGGGCTGGAAGAGTTCCTCACTGTGTAAGAATGTGTGCCACACTGCAGGAGACTTAACATATCCATCTCTGCATATTAAGTACCAGTGGCTCCTGCAGGCTCCTAAATGCCCCCTGGGCACCAACTCTCAGGAGCCACTGGAAATGCAATGACTTATAAACCGTCTGCTGTGCTTTTCCCAAATGTGTTAAGTCTACATCTACATTAAATCCACAAGCCAGAGCCTCTAGGATGATGGTCCAGGAATCTACCTCCATCCATGGGATACCAATACACCATGCTTTAAAACCAGAGCCTGTTAGTGAACTGTTTCTCTAAGCCTAGAACTCTTAACGAGCTCCCTAACAAAGCAATGCCGAACTTCTTTCTAGATATTGAAATCAGGCAGTCAGAAAGTCCTGGAAATTCCATTTCCATTCCCTTCTGAAATACAAGTTTAGGCAGACAGAAAGCTGGGGTGCTCGAAACATGCCAGCGTGGGCAAACACTAGGCAAGGAACGCTGTTAGAATATTGCGCTGGAGTCGGGGTGGGAGAGAAGAGGAGAAGAAGAGGGGAAAACAGTCAGAATGTAAAATAAATTAATTATAATAATAAATAATATTGTGCTGGGGGTCACCTTGGGGCTCCAAGTCAATGTCAATAAAGCATGAGCACCTGTGGTAGGGAACTCTGCTTGGCAAGAGAGCCCAAGGCGATCAGAGATGCCATATCTGACAGAGCGCTGTGTGAGGTATTTTCATCATCACTGGGACCAAGTACCTAACAAAATAACCTTAAAGGAGAGACTTTCTATTTTCACAGTTTCGAGAGATGGAGTTCAGTATGGGAGGAAGTCCTGGCCATGATGGGTCTCCATAGTGGCAAGGGTGTGAGGGATGTGCATCTTCTCATACCTTGGGAGATCAGAAAACTGGGAAAACTAAACAGACACCCAAGCAAGGCTATGAGCCTTAAAGATGCATCCCCAATAACCCAGACAGAGTTTACATACTGTAAAACATTACTCCCCTCTAAGGACCAGCTATTCAAACACATGAGTCTGAGGGGGATATTTCCTGTTCAAACCACAGCTGAGGCAGCCCAGAGACCTATTTCTTCTTCAGAGCCATTTCATTGATCCAAGGATACTGAGAAGCTCCACCAAATTCTATATATGATTTGTTTTTGTGTTTCATTTGTGAGACAGTGTCTCACTGTATATCTCTGGCTACTCCATAACTCACTATATAAATCAGCTAGCACCATCCTGGTAGCAATTCACTGTGTTCTCCCAAATTATGGGTTTAAAGGCAGGTAAAAACCACCCCCAGCCATACGTGGTCTTCTTAGTTTCAGCCAGAGTAGCATTGAATGTGTCACCAGGTCTCTGGACATGCAGCAGGGAGGAGCAGGTGACAGACTTCTCAGAGACAGCCTTCTCAGAAGGACGCTCTTGAAAATGTGGCAGGATGAGAATAGGGAATAGCAGAGAGGCAGGCCATGCACACTCCTACCCATCAGGGAAGAACAAATCCCATCAGTCTGTAGCTGTCATTAAAAGATCCCAGAGTACTGCCAAGTTCTAATTCGGTTTCAAAAAGAGTAATCTTAGAGTTATAGGATAAAATCTGACATGGTAATAGTTTTTTGAAGAAGAAGAAGAAGAAGAAGAAGAAGAAGAAGAAGAAGAAGAAGAAGAAGAAGAAGAAGAAGAAGAAGAAGAAGATTTTGATTTTACTTTTTGAAAAAGAGCAGCATGGGGACTGGAGTTTGATTCAGTCAGTAAAATGCTTTTTATACAAGCATGACACCCTGAATCTGGGTCCAGAGCATAGACATAGATGCCAGGCACAGAGACAGCAGCAGTGCCTGTAAAACACACACACACACACACACACACACACACAGAGAGAGAGAGAGAGAGAGAGAGAGAGAGAGAGAGAGAGAGAGAGAGAGAGAAAAGACAAATGAGGCACTTAAAGGGTGCCAAGTAAGTTCTGGGTCTACTCCTTTGGATCTCAGAAACATCTTTACCAGAGGGCATCGTGGCTCTTTGGGATCATGAGGGGAGTCTACACACAGTCTCTCTCCTCCTTGACCCTGATGCTCATGGTTCTGAGTGGTTCTGTGATCACATTTCAGTGTCCCTACCTAGCACAGCAGTCCCTAACCTTAGGAGCCTACCATATGGAAGAAATGCAGCGTGACTTACAGTGATTTCTACAGTCCCAGCAGCTTTTACACCCGTGTTTTACAGACCCTGGCAAGTTCCAGTCGATGCATCTAGGCAAGCAAGAGCATTCCGGGGCAAGAAAGGCCCATGGAGCTGGGATTCAGCCCTCCTAACATTTGTGCCAATCCCTGCAACATCTCAGGGGTCCAGGATGAGAAAGACTTCCTGATTTGGGAAATAGCCACAGCAGCCCTCTTGCCCTAACCCTGTTCCAGAAACCATTTAAAGGCTCACAGTTCCACCAGACTTCTTTTGTTTCTGTAGCATTGATGTAGACGGTTACCTTCTATCAGAAAACCAGAATAACAAGAGCACAAATAAAGACAGCTTTTTTTCTTACTTAACAGAGAGTGAGGGGATGATCCAAAACTCAGCCATGGCTCACTGAGAACAAAGACACAAACTGCTTCTAGTTTTCAGCTCAGTGTTTCCTTCTGCATGATTTTGTTTTCAAGGTCACAGAATAGTCACTGGGCCTCCAGTCATCAAATGTTTATGTTGAAGTTAGGAAAAAGAAAGGAAGCTGGGGGGGGGACATAGAAAAAACAGCCATGTATCTTTTTTTTTTTTAATCAGAAGCAAACTCTCTTCTGACATACCGTCCGTCTCTACAGTAGACTTCTTGCTCAAAACCAAGTCTTGCAGTTTCTAATAATTTCAAGGGTGACTAGAAATGTATGTATTTGGTTTTCCTGCCTCTGTAACAGGGGGAAAAGACAGGGAGAAAGTGGGGCTGCACAAAGATTATTATTCAATAACGTTGGCAAGTCACACTACACAGCCCAGAAAATTTGGAGCCTTTAAGAAACATCCATGCTCCCGGTTGCTTTCTTTCCCTGGCTTTCCTTATGTTCTCAGTCCTGTCGCTTCCTTAATTAAACCAAGCTCCTGTGGTACCCAGGTTTACGCAGGTGGGTTCCAGAGACCACAGTGACTCTGCTGCTGAGGAAGGAGCCTGGGTTTCAAGAGACCTAATTAGATTTGGATTCTGTGTGGGACTCGCAATAGAATCTGGTAGACGTTCCCAGCCTGGATTTCTTTAAAGCTGTCATTAGGCCACAGACCAGATGCTGTTGCGTCCCTGCTCTGTCTCAGGACTCTTTCTCTCCTCCTCCCCAGAACTCTTCATAACTGATGATGAGCTCAAGAAAGTCCATGATTTTGAAGAGCAGTGCATAGAGGAGTATTTCAGAGAGAAGGATGACCGCTTCAACTCATCCAATGACGAGAGGATACGGGTGACGTCAGAAAGGTGTGTTCCCTGGGCCCTGCCTCACAGAGATGTGTCCCATGGCTGTCCATGGACCAGAAAAATCTGTTCTCACATCTCCAAAACACAGACCTCTTATCTTTACTGCCCAAGAAAACATGAGCCTTCTGAAAAAACAGATTGTTGCCCAATCAGTGCACAGACCAAACTCCTGGAAATATCCTGGGTTTTTCCAGGAGACAGTGAAAGCTTCTGCCTGGGCAGAGTGCATTGATGAGTCTAGGGCAGGTCTGACTTGAACCAAAAACTAGAAAGTTTTGTCCCAGCATAAAGCAAAGAAGGCCCATCCCCACCTGAGGCTCCTCAACAGGTTTCTGTTTCCTTCTCTAGACTATTGAGCACTCTTCTCCAGAAGAGAATAGCCCCATGCTTGGCTTATGTGGGTATTCCATGTCATCTAGATAGGCAAGAGCAAGGGTTCTGTCAACCAGTGAGAATAATGATTGGTATTTTACCAAGAACTACTTTTGTTGCTTCTTCTTATAGAGTAAATCTAAAAACAAAGAAGTAAATGCGTAATTTTCTATCCAGACTCGCTTAGCACTTACCAAATGGCTTTGAGAGCCAAGAGATCTATATGAAAAATATTCTGTACAAACATGCGTACCTGGACTCATATCACAAGAAAGGCATGGCCTCATGCACACCTGTAACCATGGTGACCATGGTGCTGTCAGGGGTAGAGACAGTAGGATCATTGGGGCTTGCTTAACTTCAAAAATGCAAGCTCCAGATTCACAGAGAGACCCTGCCCCCGAAAAGCAAGCTATGACACACACACGACAGAATTTTTGCTATCTAACAGCTCTAGGTCTTGTGTCTCTCATGTGGCTATAGACTAATAAAACAATCATTCCAATCTGGTATATCCATCATACAGCCTGTGGGGGCTGGCTTCCAAAAGAACCCTCAGAGAGTGTCCCAGAGAACTGGTGTGACCGCACTTTAACTGTCTATACTATAAAGGCAGCCAGAGCAAATGGTAAATAGGACAGACGACATAATAGATCGGTAACTGCAGTCAGTGTGAATGAGACTTCAAAGATTTAAGAGACTCCTTTCTAATTTTCGTGAGATGACTCTTTGTGTGCCCACATCAAAGATTCTTTATTAACTGTGTAGAAATCACATAAGATGTGATTTTTTTTTCTGGTCCCTTGCTCTTTCTTTAAAGAATGCAGAATATATACATAGATATAATCACGTATGCCAATGAGTGGTTGTAACCATAGGTACCAAGCCAACATTAATAAGATTTAAAGCTCTGCACAGGTTTTATTCACATCTGCCACTACAAAACAGAGAGATTTATGATATGCGGTAAAGTAGTTCTCTGGCAAACAGAGGGAGGAACTGAGATTCCAAAGCGCTCTCATTCTGAGGCCCTGGAAAGCTGCTCGTGAATGGACATACAGCCTCGTGCTTCCAAAAACTTGTGCCATGTGGGAATATTACCATAGCTGAGACACATTTCCTCAGCGTATGGCTTCGGGCCTTTGAAATGCTTTCTGAATGCAGAAACACATCGGCCTGGGAGGCAAGAAAGGCAGGAAGGGAAAGGCATATTGAGATGCGAGGAAGGCTTTGCCTCTCTGAGGAACTAGAATGAAGAGGGCCGGATGCCAGCACGCATGAGTATACTGCGACCATGTCAACAACTCCTTCTGGGAAACCCAGCAGGAAACCAGAGTCTCCCACTCCATGTCAGCAAACCCTGCAGGACTACTCCCTCCCCTGACCTGCCAGGGTAGCTTCTCAGAGTGTGAGTGAGGTGAGAAGGTGCCAGGGATGCAGAACGAAGCAGAAGCCAAACACAGGGCCACAAGCCCAGTCCCTATTCTGCTTCTATGACTTCTACTTGCTCTAGAGTTTAACTGTCGTTATTGTTGGATGCTTTGCATTTTTAAGAAAACCAAAAACTAGCATCTTCCAACAGTGGAATGGTTTGTAAGAACAACAGAAATGTCTCGGAGTGCTTTGGGAGTCTACAGTCTATCTGTATTGGGTGTCTCAGTATCCTCCAGGATATGTCTGTTCTGAGTGCAGAGGCAGCTGATATCACCTGCCTTATCCACAGCCTCTTACCAGAGCCAGAGAGAGCTGGGAAAAGAGGTCTGCCACACACATGTGTCTGTGAGTAGACACATTGGTAGGGATGCTGATGGCTGCCTTTTCCTACTGACTGTACACAGTCCGTACAACAGAGAATATTATGTAACTGTACCTTTGTGTTATACAACCTGATTGCAGGGATTTGAAATCAGAAGAATTAAGAGCTTGTTCTCTTTTCATAAGCATGTACCACCTTTCATCTTCCCTGTACCCTGTTGTCACCGACTTCTGAGTTAATCCGAAACGAACCACTCTCCGTCTGGAGGTGTGAGGGATGGGAAGCTAGAGTCAGGTTACTTTCTATATACCATCGTGATTTTTCACAATAGCCTCCTTTTGGGGGGTTAACTTAGTCACTGTATGTGCATTCCTTGGGGATTCCTATTAATTCATAAGTTCTTATCACCTGTGTCTGCATTCCGTTGCTTAAGCTATCCAACCACAATCAGCACTGAGTGGCTGCAATCACTGACTGAAAGTTCTTGGCGGAGTCTGTGTGAGCACGCACGTGAGGAGGTCAGAGGGCAAGTTGCAGGCCTAGGTTCTCTCTTCCACCGTGTACATCCAGGGATCAAACTCAGACCAGCAGACTTGGTGGCATGTGTCTTTACCTGCCAAACCATCTCACTGCTCCCAAATTTTTCAAGGAACAAAAAAAAAAAAAAAAAAAAAAAAAAAAAAAAAGTTTAAAGGAAACCGTCTTGTTATAGAACAAACATAAAGTAAATTTGTCTCTAGGTCCATTTTAGAGTTCAGGTTCCGCTTTAAGCTCCTCGCAGATAGTTCCACGCTCTCATCACTAGACTATTGGGTGGTTAGGTGGTTAATCGCCCTCAGAGTGATAGATGGAAATGGGTTAACGTTAGCTCTTCCTGTCTCCTACAAGACTTAATACACCAACTCCATAGGAGTGCAGAGAAGTGGTGAAAATTGGTTAAAACTAATTCTTGGCCAGGTTAGGTGCGCCATGCCTTGAATCCTAACACTCAAGAGGCAGAAGCAGGCAGATCTTTGTGCCTGATCTATAAGCAAATTCCAAGACAGCCAGATCTATATGAGACCTTGTATGTATGTATATGAGGCCCTAAATGTATAAATTTGTGTGTATGTATATATGTGTATATACATATATATGAGTGTTATATGTGTATATGCATACACACATGTGTATATATAGTATGTATGTATGTATATATATATACATATACATATATGTGTATTTTTTTCAGTCCCTTTGCAGCTGGTCTCCAGCTCTGGCTCTATTTTCTAAGTCTGTGATGCTCCCATCAGAACTTTCCTAGTGTACCTGAATGGCCTCTCCCCCTGTACCCCAGCTTCTTTTCACTCTCCCTAGGTTCCCAGTCTGGGTCCAGCTGACATCCCTCGTTAGGCTTCAACCCTCTGACTCTCTCTCGCTCCTTTTCTCTGTAATACGGAACCCTAAGCCTGAAGGGCAGTAAACAAAGGGGCCCCACCATTCAGGCTATGGTACGCAGACATTTCTCAGCCCTTAGACCAGTGATCACATGTAGTCACACCAAAACAGCACCATTATCCCCTTCAGATATCAACCCGCTACACACTGGGCTCCACAAAGAGCGGCAGGAGAACTAATCTGCTCTGTATTACTCTTCTCACGCTACAAGGCTACTCAACAGCAGCACCTAGGGTGTGCTGAACTGAAAGCATGCCTGCTGATGCGGGTGTTCAGAAGGCTGAGGTAGGTGTATCACTGGGAGAGAACTCCAGTCTGTGCAACACAGAGAGACCCCTTTTCAAAATTACTACAAAAACTAAAGAAAGTCACTGGACTTGATCATTTCCGAAATGTCTGTCGACACAAACGTATTCAGATTCTGTAATCCTAGGTTACGGCAGGAATGTCACTCTTTCCCCTTCAGTCCTGCTCATTACCCATAACCCCTCCACGTTCTCCCCTTCAGCCCCTCCCTTACCCATAGCCCCTCCACGTTCTCCACTTTAGCCCCTCTCTTTACCTATAACCCCTCCACATTCTCCCCTTCATTCCCTCCCTTACCCATAACCCCTCCATGTTCTCCCCTTCATTCCCTCCCTTACCCATAACCCCTCCACGTTCTCCCCTTCAGCCCCTCCCTTACCCATAGCCCCTCCATGTTCTCCCCTTCAGCCCCTTCCTTACCCATAACCGCTCCACGTTCTCTACTTCAGCCCCTCCCTTACCCATAACCCCTCCACGTTCTCCCCTCAGCCGCTCCCTTTACCTATAACCCCTCCACTTCCTCCACTTCAGTCCCCACCCACCCAAGCTCCCACCTCACTGTTTCCCTCTTGGAGCAGAGCACAGCTTTGCCATCTTCTATCCTTACCCTCTAACTCCCCCAGCAGAGGACCCCGACCCAGGTGACTCTTACTCTCTGCTTCTCGGTACAGGGTGGAGAACATGTCCATGAGGTTGGAGGAAGTTAACGAGCGAGAACACTCCATGAAGGCGTCACTCCAGACCGTGGACATCCGTCTGGCTCAGCTGGAGGACCTCATTGGACGCATGGCCACAGCCCTAGAGCGCCTGACGGGTCTGGAGAGGGCGGAATCCAACAAGATCCGCTCAAGGACCTCCTCAGACTGCACAGATGCAGCCTACATCGTCCGCCAGAGCAGCTTCAATAGCCAGGAGGGGAACACCTTCAAACTTCAAGAGAGTATAGACCCTGCAGGTGAGGAGACCATGTCCCCAACTTCTCCAACCTTAATGCCCCGTATGCGAAGCCATTCTTTCTATTCAGTCAATGTGAAAGAGAAAGGTGGGATAGAAAAGCTGGAAAACATTTTCAAAGAAAGGTCCCTGAGCTTACACCGAGCTACTAGCTCCCACTCAGTAGCAAAAGAACCCAAAGCTCCTGCAGCCCCTGCAAACACCTTGGCCATTGTTCCAGACTCCAGAAGACCCTCTTCATGCATAGACATCTATGTCTCTGCCATGGATGAGCTCCACTGTGACATAGACCCTCTGGATAGTTCCATGAACATCCTTGGGCTGGGCGAGCCAAGCTTTTCAACTCTAGCACCTTCCACAGCCCCTTCAAGTAGTGCCTATGCGACCCTCGCACCGACAGACCGACCTCCAAGCAGGAGCATTGATTTTGAAGACCTCACCTCCATGGACACTCGTTCTTTTTCTTCAGACTATACCCACCTCCCAGAATGCCAAAACCCGTGGGACACAGACCCTCCAACGTACCACACCATCGAGCGTTCGAAGAGTAGCCGCTACCTAGCCGCCGCACCCTTTCTCCTAGAAGAGGCCCCCATTGTAAAATCCCATAGCTTTATGTTTTCTCCTTCAAGGAGTTACTATGCTAACTTTGGGGTGCCCGTGAAAACAGCAGAATACACAAGTATTACCGACTGTATCGACACAAGATGTGTCAATGCCCCTCAAGCGATTGCTGACAGAGCCACCTTCCCCGGAGGTCTCGGAGACAAAGCAGAGGACTTATCTTGTTGCCACCCTGAGCGAGAGGCAGAGCTGAGCCATCCTAGCTCTGACAGTGAGGAAAATGAGGCCAGAGGCCGGAGAGCTGCCAATCCCATCTCCTCTCAGGAGGCTGAAAATGCAGACAGAACCCTATCCAACAACATCACAGTTCCCAAGATAGAGCGCGCTAACAGCTACTCAGCAGAGGAGCCAAGTGCGCCATATGCACATACCAGGAAGAGTTTCTCCATCAGTGACAAGCTTGATAGACAGAGGAACACCTCAAGCCTCCGAAATCCCTTCCAGAGAAGTAAGTCCTCCAAGCCGGAGGGCCGAGGGGACAGCCTCTCCATGAGGAGATTGTCTAGAACATCAGCATTTCATAGCTTTGAGAGCAAGCACAACTAAACCCTCTTACCACGTGTTGCAGGAGGCTCGAGAATCCAGCACTAAAACTCTCCCCATGTCCACCCTTTCCCACCACTTCCTTGAGTTATATTCGCTTTACTCTTAGCTGAGCAAAACAATGCCTTGGGAGATGTTAACTCAAAGGTAACCTCTGGGCCGCAGGTCAAGCAAGCATTCCGTCTGGCCCAGTGCCAAACACAGGGTTTTCTGGCATGTTCACACGTGTTGGGAAGGGAGGGGAAAAGAGGAGAGAAAGGGTTTAGAGATGGATGCGTGTCACCAGGCGCCACAGAAAGCCATGAGCTCTGGGGAACAAACAAGCTCAGGCGCTCTCCCTGAAAGCAGGCATCTTGGGACTTCTGCCCTGTTATCCAGAGTTGAGGAGACAGGGCTAAATTACAAAATAAGATAAAATAGCCAGCATGCAAGATGAGATATTCTAAACTTCCATTCTGTTTTCTTTTTACATTGGTTCCATCACTGGTGACTGATGAAGAACATCCCTTTTATTCAGTATAAGCCGGCAGCAAGCAGTTCTACCTAACGTCCCACATCCTTCTCATGCCAACACTTCTGTAATTGGTCATTATAAAGAAAAACAAGGTAACAGTCGTATATACAGTTCGCCTGTCTCTTATATATTCACTTCTGGTGCCACAGCTGTCTATCTCTTTAGAAGAAAATAAGGGAACAGAAATGCCTTTTTTTTTTTCCTTTTTGTCTTGCAATCGAAATGAAAGAAGAGTTGATGTTGGAAGCAAGAGTGATATGATTTATAATATACCATGGGCAACCAAGTGTATAGTCAAGCAAGCTCAGGACGAATGTAATTAGATAATTTTATATTTTTAAGTTATTTTGTATCTCACCTGTCATCAGTGAATTCACTCATCAAATACGTAATGTTGAACTTTAAGAAAAACAGCGGTGGGAAGAGCTAACATTAAGTTGCCATGTGGGATGTTGTTATAGTCTCACCGTCCATAGTATGTGATGCTGCTGTGTGGCCTTCTTCATTTGCATGTCTCCACTATGTCCTCCGAGCACCTTCAAGATGTAACTGCCAAACTCCCACACCATTCATCACATGACCATTTTGTATTTGAACACATGGTTATATGTGGGATATTTTCATACCTAGAATTTAGCCATCGAATCTGGGCTCAGCATAAATTTAATCGGAGTTTTTCAAGGGCTGGTATCTTTTTTATGGAAATGTTCCAAAGTACTTTTGTTTTGTTTTGCTTTTTTCCAAGACAGGGTTTCTTGTTTGTAACAGCTCTGGCTGTCCTGAAACTCGCTTTGTAGACCAGGCTGGCCTCAAACTCACAGAGATCTGCCTGCCTCTGCCTCCCTAGGGTTGGGATTAAAGGTTTGTGCCACCACTGCCTGGCCCCAAAGTATATTTTAAGGAAGTTTAAAAACCATAAATAATCTTAGACTTGACTAGGGGCTTGACATCCACCCAAAGCCATCAGTTGCAGGCAGACCATGAATATGTTTCTTATTTACAAAGTTATAAAAAAGGTATAGAAGGCCAAAAGAGAAAGCAAATATAGCATATGCAGAGTTCTATAGTTTATGCTGTTTATGTATACGCACACATGCACCGATACATGTTTATAAACAGTAATAAAGTAGACAGAGAAATTTCTTAACAGGCTTGACTTCCTGTCATCTGAAGGTATAACCAAGATTATTTTTTAATACTGAAGAAGTTTCAATGGGAAAAAAGTTCATTGTGCTATTGGACCCACTGCTAAAATTACAATTTTTAGAAAATCTCTGTCATTTTAATCTTTTCTTACACTGAACAAGATCTCTGTCAAAATGGCTCACCCTTGCCCTCTGCTTCCTCCTGTTTGGAAGCACGCACTATTGTGACATCTCCTTCACTCTGGTTTCTCTGACAGGAAGCTATTATAACCAAATACGATATGAATAGATGTGTGATTCCAAGCTAGTTTGTATTACATGGCCTAGAATGGAGTCATAAATTTCTAGACCAGAATCTAGATTTGAAATGGGATGAGAAAATCTCAACCACAAAACTTTGGCTTCCTATTTGGATCATTGAATATTTTAAAATAATAAAGTCTTTAAGAACGCTAATTTGGAGCCAGGAATAGTAGTGATGTATATCTGTGATCCCAGTACTTGGAGAGATGAGGCAGGAGGATGAGGAATTCAAAGTCAGCCTCACATCAAGGTCAAGGCCAATCTGGACTACCTGAGACCCTGTCACGAGAAAGGAAAGAAAGAAAAGAAAACATAAAAAGAAAAATAGTCTGAGCTAGGGCTGGGGCTCACTTCCTTAGCATACTCAAGGCCTTGTGTTCCATACCCAGTAAGGGGGTGGGGGAAGAAGAAGGAGGAAGGGAGAGAGGAAAAGCAGAAACATGATTCATGTCCCTGGCCCCACATGCTCTCTGGTTCTTTTAACTGTAGTGGTATCTCATTTGGTGACATCAAGTCAATTCCTTACAAAACCTCTAGTCTTTAACTATATATATATATATTTTAAAGAACCAAGGTTTTCATTCTAAAACAAGCGGCAAGCTCACATACATGTAGAATCAGTTTTCGTCCTTAGTATTTCCGAAACACCCAACCTCTTTGTTGATAACTATGCTGGAGACACATCCTTATTGATCTCTCTCCCAATGGACATGCATTGAATCCGAGAGTAAATCATTTGACTCTAAGCTTCCTTGAGCCGTGAGTCCCTGTTAGAACCTCACGGAAACCTTGAGCCCTCTCACCCCCCAAGTTCACATCCATGTGAAGCTGCAATGTAACTTTCAGGGGTTCATGACTCCCCTGGTTCCACAGTGGCTGATGAGGACAGAGACCATGTTCATCAGCATTCAAGCGGAAACAGGCACCATACACTTTTAGACCATTTCCCTGTGATTCTTTGGAAGGCCATGTCTCTGCGCTTCTGTTCCTTAGAGTAGAGACGGTTAGCTGGATGTGCTTGGGCCGCTTTCATGACTTTGATTAGCAAGGATTCTCAAAGGCAGAGACTGAGGGAATCCATGGAGAAGTCCAAGGAAATGAGTTGGTCATCTGTGACCACAGGGCAGGTGCCAAGCACTGTGAGACCTGGCTTGGGACCTCATTGGAAGCAAGGGAGAGAAAGGACAAGCCTAAGTGTCTCTGTTTGTTGTGATCACCTGAGAGAAAGAACGTGACCTGGGAAAGGAAACACTTAACAGTCCTGAGCTTTTGTTCTGCATGAACATGCTAGCCTCCTTGGTGAAGTGTGTGGAATCTTTAAGCCAAATGTAAACAACTTCAGACTCAAACTGTGTAGGCCTCATAAGCCATCACTTTCCTGTACGTGTGTGTGTGTGTGTGTGTGTGTGTGTGTGTGTGTGTGTGTGTGTGTTCGTTCTTTTCAGTCCCATCTCTTCCCATGTCTGGGTTCTCTGCACCAGTGTGGCATCGATTCTGTGGCCTTGTACAGACTGCTTGTGTTCAGCTCATTCGTCCCATCATGTCCCTGATGGAGGGGACCTTAATACATGCCTCGTGAATCAAGCAGCTGATGAGCAGCCGGTCATTGAAGACCATACATACATAAAGTCATAGAGGGCTCAAGAAAGAGATAGCTTATTTAATCGTCTGCTTCATAGGTGCCAATTTTTATATACTGCGATGTGTAATGATTTGTTCTAAATTGCTTGCTTGTTCCTTTTGGGGAAGAAATGATGGATGTTTTATAAAAAAAATGGCCATATTTTCTATTTACAGTTAGAAACTGATAGATTTGAATGGAGTGCTAGAATGCAAGAGGGTAGTTGTCATGGCCAGTTGTGTTTCTGCAAGTCAAAGGAGGACAGTCGGAGTGCGGCACTTTAGAGACCTGGGTGTTTCTTTAATGTTGAAGCCTCCAGGGCCAGCTATTATTTAGCACTTTGAAAGTTCCCCCTTTGAAAAAAAAATATATATATACATATACCAGAATAATGAAATGGGGGGAGGGGCACTTGTGAAAACACAAAATGTGTTTCTTCTGAATGTTACAAATGTATTTTAAAATCCGGTTTCTATAGATAACATTATGGTAGATCACTGGATAGTACGTTTCTTTTTGTCTTCCTGCAGCTGTACAGTCTAATCTCCCTGGATGTTTGGGCTGTTTGATTTCCTTAAAGATAATATTATCCAGTTATCCATCATGCTCTATCTATAGGCTATGCCGTGTGACATGTTGGGCAATGCTGTACTATAAAACACATGTAAACCTATCTGTAACCTGTGTCTAACCCAGCATAGCTGTAGCATGTGGTTGTACTAATGAACGTCACAGAACCGCTTTCTACTCATTTATAAATCTGTAACATTCAATAAAGAAGCACATGTGGCAAGGATTGATGACGTTCCCATGTCCGTGTTCTTTAGCAGCCTCTGACCATGGGCGTTTTTGTTCTGGGTCCTCATTATGTTGCCTCTATTCCTCGGACTACTATACAATGTTTGTATAAGCCGATGGACATCCTCTACCAGGTCCTGCTAGCTGTGAGAGGCAGGGTTTGGTTGTGTGATGGACAAGCTGGCATGTTATGCAAAAATACTATATAACCAATGAACTTAAATATTTTTAAACTCCTGTTGAATCAGCTGTTTGTTTATGTCTGCTGACCCTGTGTGGAAGCAGTGTACAGTATTTGATAAATACGTTCATCTGGTAGCGCTGTCTGTTCGAGATCAAGTGAGGCTAACGTTTAGGCGGCTGTATATTTGGCCTAGATGTTGCGTTCAACCCACTAATCTTTCCAAAAGCGATGTGACTTGTCTGAAGTAATCCCTCCCCAATCTAAGTCTTAATTTTGTGCCAGCACAACGCATGCTGTGCTTTATGCACCAGTCTTGACTCTGTTTAGTGCACTTAACGTTTTACTCTTGTCTGCTGCAGTGCTTAAGACAGTTAGGGGCCCAGGCAAACTGTCGGGCTTCTTTAACTGCGGCTGCTTTCTGTTTTTAAATAGTAAAACAAGTAATCAAGGCTTCCTTTTTTCTTCCAGTTTGTACAGCTCTGAACAAATAATATAACTAGAGTATCCCCTGCAAGTTGCAATAGCTAGGGCCCCAGAGATGGCAAAGCAGCACCACTCTGGAGTCCCAAGGTCTAGGTGCCGGGGCATCTGTAGCATGAAAGACATGCCTTGGAATCTTTAGGGCTTTCTGCGTGCAAATTGCTAAACCAGAGATGAAAGCCAAGGGTCCATGGTGACAGGACAGAAATGCACAGATGCTGTAAGTAAATGGTCCCACGCTAGTGGACGAGGACCTCCCTTCTTGTCCTGTGGCTTTCACACCTGTGGGTGAGCTGGGCCCAGAGGTGGGAACGGGCAATTGCTTGATGAAGCATCAGGTGACTCCAAAGAGTTTATTCTTTAAAGAAATCACGGTTCCATGGCTAGAAACCATTCAACATCTGGAAAGGGATGGATCCAACTTGCACAGTCAAAATGCTCCCAAAATGAGCAGGGAAACCTTTCCTCTCCACCAGTTTTGCCCTGTGCTGTCTCTTGTGTCTACGAGTCAAGCATCCTGTCTGTCAGATTAGACTCAATACAAGAGGGGTTGGTTCTGATTAAAGAAGAACAACTTTTTCTTTTCTTTTTCAAATTAATTTCAGAGAGTGTTAATGTCGCCTTTGCTCTCGTGGTCTCTTTGCTCTGATTACTCCTAATAAAAATCAAGATGTTCTGATTTCTGTGTGTCATCTAAGAGGGGATGGAGGTGACCAAGTCACCCCGATTAATCAAAAGAAGTGGTTTGTTTCCTAACTTTTCTGGAGTAACTGGCCACCTTCTGCTGGCAGCACATGATCTCCGCACCGGCAGTGGGTATGGAAAGTGAAACAATAGACACCTATGTAGATGCCCATAGACTCTGATGGGCATCAGTGCCAGCCATGACTCTAGCCTCTGGGGGAGGCAGATTCCTGAAGAATGTGGGGTACAGGGGTCGCAGCCTTTTTTTTTTTTTTTGGTCCCTTTTCTTTCCTTTTCCTTACTGTCTAAAGCTAGCTCCTTTTTTTTTCTATGTGTGTGAGACCAACAGACTCATCCATTACCTCATATGGACCCCAAAACAGTAACCCCAAACATTGACTAAATGGGAAAAGCCAGATGTTCTGAATTTGACTCAGGTCTGGTCTCCCAGCTGATTTCCTCCCTCCACCCAAGTTCCTAATGTGGCTACTGTGACATCTGTCACATCCGAATCTGAATTGCCTGACTGAATCCTGAAAGGCTCTCTACATCTTTACCCAGTCACCTGCCTCCCCATGAAGGGATTGCAAATTCAATCCAAGACCCAGATCTAGAACACAAAGGAATGGGCCTAGGAAAGACAATGCAAGCAAGATCTGTTGACCCTGAAAACATGTATGTCCCACAGAGAGGTTCAGATGTGGGCTTTCGAGCCCTGTGCTAGCCCCCCAGGTATCCGCAGCAGTGTTCTCAGTGGCCATGTCTGGGGGCCTCTGATTTGGAGCCAAGCAGGGTCTGATCCATGGTTCTCGCACAGAGAGCAAACACATCAAATACACTCAAGAACTTCGAGTTGGGAGAAGCAGCTCACCCTGTTTGGGGTGACTCGAAGATGACTTCCATGCATGTGGAGAGCATGTTTTACTGGATCCAAACACAGGACCAGTGTGAGGGAGACTATGGGGAAGGATGTTGTAGCGTGTGAAGACTTAACCTGCTTCCTGTCACTGGAGTATCTCACCTGAGTTTCTCCTGCTGCTACCATTGTGTAAGTCAGTCCGTGTAGTCGGTACCCTACACTCATAGTCATTTCATAATGTAGTACTTAGACCGTCATTTGTAAATGAGTTAACTATAGTTTATAACGGGGGAAATTATTCAGACACCATTTTTAAATGAATTCCTATAAATCAATGATTTTGAAGTTGGGTTTACTAAACATACATACATCTTTTCTTCCTTTCATGTATGATAGAAAGAGATTTGCATATCTACTGACACCAAGTATATATAAATCCAGAGGCATTGTTCTTTTTTAACGGTCTGTTATTGGATTCACAATGCACTTTGAGCTTGTCTGTTTAGATATATAATTTGAAACAGAAGTTGGCAGATGCCACAGGCAAAGAACTTTCTGGAATTTCTGTAACAAATGTTTTGCAATAAAAAAAAATACAAATAGTTTAAAACATGACTCAGACTTCCTTGTGCATTTATGTGTCTCTACCTGCTCGTCACCATTCTCATGCTAAAGTTCCTGGTGATTGCTAGGGAATCACTGCCCGAAGCTGCATGAATTACTTATTTTGGAAAAACAGAAGTTACAAACTGTTAAACTATGGGGTGTGTTCGCCAGCAAAGAATGGATATTATAGGTCAATGTGGTGTGCGTGTGTGTGTTGCTTTTTAAATTGAAACATTTTCAAATTGACAGATATCACATCTAATTCTATGTCTCTGGTACTTCCTAAGAAACGTGAAAATCTGACCATAATTAACTTATCATATCCCCACACAACTGAACAAAAACGTGTCAGTTCAATGGGAGTCCAGATTTTCCAGTACCCCCACAGTTCCCACTGCTCCCTCCTGTCCCGTATCTGATGTCCTTCCCTTGCTGAAATTTCCTGGAAAGCCCCTACAAGCCCTGGAACTTCAGGACTAAAGGATGTGACAGAGTAGTGGCAAGTTTAGAACACTGAAATAGAAAAGACTCAGGGTAGCAATTTGTTTGGGGGATAAAGAATAATCAGAACTTATCTTTGTGCTAAAACCATAGAACAACTATGACTTTATTATCACATTTAGAGCATATTATGAAAATTTTCCTATAGACTGGTTTACAGATCTGGCTGTATATTCCATTAAGAAGGACAAGAAAAAGCCTTGCCTTTATAAATCTTTTAATTTTTAAAAGCATAGACAGAGAAACTACAAAATATATACGCACTCATGCATTTATTAGACGGCCTCAATTTGTTATACAGACTGGCCTAAAACTCTTGGACTCGAGCAAGGCTCCTGCCTCCACCTTCTAGTTAGCAAAGACTGCAAGTGCATACTGTGGTACCTAGCTATTCCTTTGATGAAAAATAATTGTGCCCCCCAAAATACCAAGATGAGTAAAGTAAACTGAGCCCCTGGTCTTGTGACGCTTTACACACAGTTGTCCTGAGAGTGGGATCATATCATTTCCATTTAGTTGCCCAAAGAATAAAGCATGGGAAAAAAAACAGTCTAGAGATTTAGAGGAGTGAGCGTTCTATGGCTCAGGAGAAGAAATGTTCTTCATTGGACTGAGCCCGCCTACTCATTTCTTTGTAATGGAATGGTTGACACCATTTTCTGAAAGCAACTTGTTATGTATGCTCTTCAACGCATACAGCTGCCATAACACACATGGCATTCAACAAAGTACCTTGGAAAGTCTTAAATATAGACCAGCATGCATCTTCCTTGGATGAGACACAAGTGAGAAAAATGAATTCTGTAGAAATAATTATCATTACGTTTTGCTCATGTTACCTCATTTAATTGAAATCCAGAAAAACTGATCAAACCATAAAAGGAAGGTTTTGGTAACCACATCCTTATCACTGGGATTTTTAGTAATTACTTTTTTTAACCTTTCTAAGTCACTGGTTATTTGATTTTTTACCTAAATATTCAGCTCATCACTATGGTAAAGCTTAATCCATTTCCTTAAAGCTATGGGCTGTGTTATGGTCATAATCTTTCAATATATTGTTGGGATAGAGACTAGTGATGCCCAGTTACCTAGACTGCAACTTGAGATCAGAATATTGCTCTATTCTTCTCTGTCTCATTTGTTAAAGTTAGATATATTAGTTTTCTAGAACTTTCTTAACAAAGTAGCATAAACTTGGGAACTTAAACAAAAGAAATTTATCATCTCAAATACTGGAGATTTTTTTGAGTCCAAAGTAAAGAATTTGTTCCCTTCACATGGTCTTGCCTGCTCTGTTGTGTTTTCTGACACCCACTGGTATCCCTTGGCTTATAAAAGCACCACCCTGTGCTCTGCCTTCATGTCACATGATGTTCTCCCCACATATTGTCTCCAACTTCCTCCTTTTAACAAGAACACAAATCCTATTACATTAGCCTCACCACCACCCTGCATCTTGACTCATTCTGCCTACAACCATCTTTTTTCCCTAATAAAGTCATATCTGAAGTATTCATGGCTAGGATATTCACATATGGATTTGGGGAAAGAACAAAATCAAATGGTAATGGTGTGTAAATTTGTACATAGGTTTACAGAGGTCACTGGTCTTTCTCATGTCTCTCAAGGTAAAAATATCAAAATTCAAGAATCAATCCAAAGCCATATATGGGTTAACCAAAAGGAAAAAATGATAAATCAGTTATTCTAACCAAGAAATTATTCAAACTTTTATTTAAACTTATTCAAAAATTTTATGTCTTCATGTATCTCTTTAAAAGACAATATGGGAACATTGAGATGGTTCACTAGGTGTGCCACACAAGCTTGACAACCTCAGTTCAATCCACAGAACCATATTCAAACAGAAGGAGAGAGCCATCCGCTCTGACCTCCACAAATATGCCAGGGCATATAAAACCCACCTTTTCACACACACCATACACATGAACATTAAGAAATAATTTTTTTAAAGGAGCTACAAAGTGAATTTGAGGCCAACCTAAGTAATATAGTAAGACCCTGTTTGAAAACATTCCAGTATAGTGGCTCATACTACCCAGAATTTGGGAGACTGGAACAGAAGGACTGTCACAAATGTGAGGCCAGTTTGGGCAACTGTCTTAAGAAATGCTGCTAGGCATGGCGACACATGCTTTTATCCCAGCACTCAGAAGAAAGAAGCAGGTGGGTCTCTGTGAGTTCGAGGACAAATGGGTCTACATAGAATGATCCTGGCCGTCAGAGATATATGGTGATGTCTAATCTTAAGATAGATAGATAGATAGATAGATAGATAGATAGATAGATAGATAGATAGATAGATGATAGATAGATGATAGATAGATAGAGAGAGAGAGAGAGAGAAGATAAATAGATAGATAGATAGATGATAGATAGATAGATAGATAGATAGATAGATAGATAGATGATAGAATAAACAACAATAGTGATGATGCTAAGAATAATAATAAGTAAGTGCTGGATAAGTGGTAGTGGAAGTGATAGCTCAGTGGGAGAGCCCTTGGCCAGTATGAGCAGGCTCTGTGTTTATTCCCAAGTTTCACACATGCACATATACACACACACACACACACACACGTACGCACACATGCACGCATGCACACACACCCACACACACACACAAAATTAATACATTAGGAGACTATATGGTTTGGTACCGATTTCTATAAAATTCAAACTAGACATACAGATGTAGATATATTGGCATATAAGTCATGAAAAGACTGGAGAGATGCCTCAAAACATAGTAAAAGTTTTATAATACAGTTTTTCCTTTTGAAAATTCACATGTGTAAGTAGAATCAAAAGTGACCTAGAGCTGGGTAGTACACACCTTTAGCTCCAGCACTCAGGAAGCAGAGGCAGGTGGGTATCTGTGAATTTTAGGTCAGCCTGCTCTACGTAGTTCCAGGAAGCCAGGGCTACATAGAGAGACTGCCTCACAGAGAGAAAGAGGGAGAGAAACAGAAAGTGACCTAAGCAAAGTTGGGTGACAAAACAAGAGGCATTAACCTCAGGCAGGAGGTTTTTTTCTTCACTGTCTTTGTGTTGATGGCCATTGTAGGCATTACCCAGAAATCATGAGGCTTCCAATGCGAGTCATCTCCTCCAACAAATGATATAGCTAGAAGAAAATGGGAGAAATTGGTTTAACTACTAATGTCATGAAATTATCATTTAAGGCATAAATATAATCAATGCCTTTTGAGCAGCCACTTTGTTCTCGTGAAAGAACTGAAATTTTTATTAAAAAGGCAAGACAGTCATGACTAAAAAGATAATTGCATGTTTTCATTATTTAATTAGAGCTGTTGAAAAAATTGGGACCAAGCAGCCTAAGTATGGCTCATCAGCATTCAAAGCGCTCAAGTAGAAGCTAATGGCCCTGGGAAGGCAGTGTGTGGATGGTTTCCCACATTTAGGTAGGAAATGGTACTACATATCCTATTCTGAGACTATAGAACAGGACTGGGAAGTCTTCAAAATTAAGAGGAGAGAACAAACCCTCTAGCCTGGCAGAACCTAAAGGGATATGTGAGACTAAAGACAATATAGGCTAGAGCCCCAGGTAAAACAAGATTCTACCATGAGAAAAAATGAGACCAATTCCTTGGGAGCAATAGGAAGCCACCCTGCCCTGTGCAGAGGACTCAGCCCCGAGAGGCACTGCTAAGTGCAGTGGCCCCTTCAATTCACTCAGTTGTTTAAACACGTCAGTGGTGTTGACGTTATTATTCTGTCCCGGGTAGAGGAGAGGAGACTCACCTTTCTATACATTAGTGGCAGGCTAGGGTTTGGACTTTATTCTGTGGCAGGAAGAAAGCAGATGAAGAATTCTAGACAGGGCACGTGGCACATGACAGTGAGGTCACTAGAGGAGGGAGGAGCAGTGGGGCCCGTTGAAGGCCTGACTCTCTTGCAGGCAAAAGTGAAAGGAAGCTTCACAAGCCAACTTCATAAGCGTCCCTTGAATGGCTGCTGTTGGACAGACACTGACTGAGTGTCGCTACCCTCTCTCAGAAACAGCACCCTCTCACTCAACCTCCTGGTGAGCTAAGTCTTTCTCAGTAGAGGACTATGTTTAAACGCACGCCAAGGCCTATGCCTAGAATGCCTGCTTTCCAGGAACATTGGTGCCGTGGAGAACAGCTCTGAACTCTGACTGAAGCACTTCATTAGTCTGGTGCATTCTTGGCTTGATAGGCTTGATCTAGAAGTGTCATGGTGGTGAATACCTGTGATCCCAGCCCTTGGGAACAAGAGGCAGGAGGACTTGCAAGGCCAGTTTGAGTTACCTTGTGAGATCAAAAGAGAGTCATAATGATAGTAGTAGTTGTTGTAATAAAAGCAGCAATTAGTTCTTCTCTCGGAAATGGGGTCTAGAGATGGTACAAAGGGGAGAGATGGGTAATAAAAGTGCAGCCCAGACCCTTGGGTTGTCACCTGTCATGTTCCTGCAGGTTGGCTAAGTCGCAGAGAGA